TGATAAAATATGATTCAATGATTGTTAGGTTCGTTAACCTTGAGGATACTACTGATTCGACTTATTCGGAACGGAACGAAGGCTCAGGATTCAGAGACTCAATAGACTATTCTGGTCCGTTGTCTTCGACTCAGCTAACTCGATCAAGAAGTCCTGGTAAGGCGTAGAAAGTATATTCTACAAGCAACAGCAGATACCAAGTCAGGCAGGCAGATCAGATCAAGCATACAAGTCAAGCGTATTTATACAATTATTTACAATCGATATTGTCATAGGAAATTTTTAAACATTAATCAATGAGTTCATTAATTGACCTATTTGCGCATTTAATCGATAGTTCATCAATTGACTGCTATTCAAGCATTTAATCGATCAGTTCATCAATTGACCCCAATACAAATATTTAAACGTTTAATCAATAAGTTGATCGATGCGATAAAATTCAAAATATGAGTTTGGGGATCTATCGTCCCCAACACTCCTACCCTTTTTAATAGCGGGCTTTCCTGGGGTCAACCTGCATCTTGACTGTAGCTCGCCGTTCTCTTATAGGCCATCGTCTGGGACGTGTTTCAGATTGTTGTTGGGGTTTTTCTTGTGGTAGGGTTGCCGGTAAGTTGAAAGTATCAAGCAAGATGTCGAGAGGAAGATTTAGTCCTGTTGATGGGTGGTCTGGGGCTACCCGTTTACGTAGTTGATTTCGGTGTCTAGTCCATGTGTCTCTTCCCACCTTTACATTGTACATAACTTGGCCTAGTCTTCCAACCACACGTGCTTCGATCCAAGGACCATGATTTGCTCTGTAGTCTCGAGCGAACACAGGGCATTCAACCTCGTACTCTGGAAGCTTCTGAGATTTGGTCTGAGATGGTGGTGGTGTGGTTCTTGGGCACATGAGACTGTGGATCGTCCTCAATTTCCTTCCCATCAGGATCTCTGCCGGGGACTTCTGCTGTGGTAGCATATCGCTAGGTGTTGTTCGGTAAACAAACAAGAAATTCTGCAGTGTTTCTACTGGCGTCCCCTCCCCTTTCGACTTCATTAGAGCTCTCTTGAATGTATCCACAAATCTTTCTGCTTGTCCATTTGACTGTGGGTGGTAAGGTGGAGAGCGGAAATGCTTGATCGATAGGCGTTTGCAAAATTCTTGAAATTGGCTTGAGGTGAATTGCGAACCGTTGTCGGAAACGATTATATCCGGTAACCCATTGCGAGAGAACATCTCTGTCAACAGTTGCATCGTTTGGGTTGTCGTTGGTGGCATGATCGGAACGATTTCTGGCCATTTCGAAAAGGCGTCAACAACGACTAGATAGGTGATTCCATTAATTGGGCCTGCGAAATCGACATGTATCCTGGACCAGGGATACTCAGGCTGTGGCCATGGGACTGGTAGTATTTTCGCGTTACACTTAGCTGCTTGCTGACATTGTGTGCACTTGCTTACTAAATCCACGATATGTTGGTCCATGAGGGGCCAATAAGCATAGCTTCTGGCGATGGATTTCATTCGTTTTATACCAGGATGACCAGTGTGGAATTGCTTTAGCACCTTTGATCTTAGGGATTTTGGTACCACTACTCTATCTCCAAACATCAAACATTCGTTTACGACGCATAATGAGTCCCAACGGTGGTAAAGCTGTTTCAAGTCACCATCGAGTCCAGTCGGCGGCCAGCCATTTGTGACGTATTTCATCGCTCTCTTTATGATGGAGTCGTTCTTGGATGCAGATTGTATTTCAGCTGCTGAGACTGGCAAAGCACGAATAGCAGTTGTCAGGTAGCACTGCGCGTAGTCCTCTTTCATCAGGGAGGCAATAACTGTATCTTCGCCGGCCGTATGGTGTTCGCTGATAAGTCGTGACAAGGCGTCAGCCTGACCAAACTGTTGAGTGCGCCGATAGTGAATGTCAAAATCATAACCCAGAAGTATCAAAGCCCATCGTTGGAGACGGTTTGCAGAATGGGCTGGAACACCAGATTTCGAACCGAAAATTGTGAGAAGGGGCTTGTGATCAGTGAGAAGAGTAAATCTTCGACCGTACAAGAATTTGTGGAAACGGCGTACTGCAAACACAAGAGCCAGAGCCTCTTTTTCTATTTGACTGTACTTTCTTTCTGCTGAAGTTAATGTGCGAGATGCGTGCATAATAGCTTTCTCTGTTGCGTCCGGGAACTGATGTGAAATGACAGCACCGAGTCCAAAAGCTGAAGCGTCTGCAGCGACAATGATAGGCATGGACGGATCGTAGTGCGTCAATAATAGTTCAGAGCTAATGATGGTTTTCAGCTTGCAAAATGCAGCTTCACATTCTTTTGTCCAATTCCAGCTGGTATTCTTATTCAGAAGATGATTTAGCGGGGCGCGTATGTCATGCATCGACGGGACAAAAGCTGAATAGTAGCTAATTAGTCCCAGGAATGATCGTAGCTCAGAGATATTAGTGGGAGTTGGCATCTGTTTTATAGCTCGGATGTTTTCCGGATCTGGTCTGCGACCTGCGGCATCAAAGATGAATCCCAAATATTTAACTGACTTCAAGAAAAACTGGCATTTTTTCTGGGCGTAATCGGAATCCGTTATCGCTGATGCGTTGTAGTACAGCTTTCGTGCGTTCTCTAAGCTGTTCTAACGATGTGGCAACAATTAAGATATCATCGAGATAAGTTGCGACCCCCGGGATACCCGATAGAATGGTATCCATTAGTTGCTGAAAAATAGATGAAGCTGTTTTAACACCAAATGGTAGGCGATTGTACTGAAACAAGCCACGATGAGTATTTATGGTAAGTAACTCTTTCGAATCTTTAGCCACTTCCACTTGTAGATAAGCATCAGCGAGATCCAGCTTTGCAAAGAACTTCCCACCATTTCACATCGTGAACAAATCTGAAGGGACTGGCAGTGGGTAGTGATGCTGTTCGAGAGCTGCGTTAAGACCTGTGGAAAAATCTGCGCATATTCGGATTGTGCCATTAGCCTTCTTAATAACCACAATGGGTGCTGCCCAGGCAGAATAAGAAACAGGTGTAATAACTCCCTGTAGTTGAAGGCGGTTAAGTTCTTCGTCAACTTTCGATAATGCTGCGTACGGCACTGGTCTTTTTGGACGAAAGACAGGTTTAGCTCCAGGTTTCAACCAAAGTGTTGCTTTCATAGCAGTGCACTGACCCAATACAGGTTGGAAAATGGTTGAAAACTCCGTCATTAGTTCTTTCGAATATGCTTCAGGTTCATGAGATTGTTTCACCAGATGGCATACGGTGCTTAAAGGAACGTCAGCTAAATGTAGCTGGTCAAACCAGTCTAACCCAAGTAGATTAAGATCAGCTGGTGTGATGTAACAGACACCGGTAAACGTCGAATCGTGAAAAGACACTTTACAATCTAGTTGTCCCAACAAACGTAGGTAATTACCGCATGCAGTTCGAGGTTTTTGTGTTGTTGGAACCATGCGTGGTCTTCCCATTCTGATCCAATATTTTCGTGAGAGAATTGTTACATCAGATGCAGTGTCTATTTGCAATCTAAATGGGTGCCCATTAATATTAAGGGTAATAAATTTCCTCTCAACTGGACATGAGTTCTCACAGCTTGCTATTAGACTCAACGAATTCGTGTTGGATCTAGGCGTAGGCTTCCTGGTACCTTTGGAGTTGCTTGGCTTCTTTTTTCGACAAAACCCATCTTTATGACCCACCGTGTTACATTTCCTGCACCGATGTTGCTTATATAGACAGTATCGAACAAAATGCCATGCACCGCAGTGCCAGCATGGGGCAGGAGGATTTGTTTTTGTCTTTTGACTTGAACTCGATGTCGCTGAGGCAGATTTATGCGAGTTGCGTGGTTGTTGGACTACATGAACTTCGGTACGATCTGAACCACCACGCTGTAGATTGATTAGGCGTTGATATTCGTTTGCAATATCATTAAGGGATAGTTTTGGATCATGGTCCAATCGACTTAGCAAACGTGTTCTAATGTCACTGAACTTCTGTGATTGAAGGCTGCAGATGAGAATGAGAGCTTTAAATTGGTCTTCAGTAAGCGACTTCAACCGGAAGCGTTCACATTTTCGGTTAACGATACCCACATGTGTGAGAAAATCAGCGTCTTCGTTCATAGTGAGCTTCAAACATCGATAACGCGCATTAAATAGTGAGGAGTTGTCTCCGAATTGTTGGCTCAATGACTGGACAGTGTCCGAGAATGAGCGATCGCGTGGGTTTAGAGGCAGAATTAGGTTGCAATACTTGTCTAGTTCATTAGGACCCAACTTTCGAAGCAGCAAGCGGACCTTCCAAGCATCATCCTGATTAGCAAAGTCGAACTTGAATAAGTCTTCGTAACGTCGAAACCACATATCAAACGTGACATTGGATTCTGGATCGTAATGAAACTCGGAGATACTGTTAGCGATACCATCAACTGATGGTGCAGTAGTAGTAGGATTAGAACTGCTTGGTTGAGTATTAGACGTAAGCTTTGCATCCGCTAACATCTGAATAAGTTTCATTTGCTGCTCGAGTAATAATTCAAGTTTAGAAGAATCCATGTTTCCAAAACCACCGTCGCCAAATTGTTAGGTTCGTTAACCTTGAGAATACTACTGATTCGACTTATTCGGAACGGAACGAAGGCTCAGGATTCAGAGACTCAATAGACTATTCTGGTCCATTGTCTTCGACTCAGCTAACTCGATCAAGAAGTCTTGGTAAGGCGTAGAAAGTATATTCTACAAGCAACAGCAGATACCAAGTCAGGCAGGCAGATCAGATCAAGCATACAAGTCAAGCGTATTTATACAATTATTTACAATCGATATTGTCATAGGAAATTTTTAAACATTAATCAATGAGTTCATTAATTGACCTATTTGCGCATTTAATCGATAGTTCATCAATTGACTGCTATTCAAGCATTTAATCGATCAGTTCATCAATTGACCCCAATACAAATATTTAAACGTTTAATCAATAAGTTGATCGATGCGATAAAATTCAAAATATGAGTTTGGAGATCTATCGTCCCCAACAATGATACACCATCATGAGATCAAAAATTGAATCAATCCTCCGAACGGACTGAAATAAAAGACGAGATTAACAGCTAGAAGAATACGTTTTTATCTAGTGGAATAACCAAAGGGTCTGAAAGGTGAATTCATGCTTCGAGATCTGAAGATCCTGTTTTCGACTCCTGTTGAAGAGTATTACTTAATTGAAACAGCTGTCCGGTACTTTTAGATTTTCAACGATCGTCTAATTAATATCATTCTGTGATCCAAACCATACAATTCAACAGTCTCCACCAAACGCCAATAATTATATCAGTTTTGTAAGTCACTACTAGAAATTCACCAAACAAATTTAATTTTTGCTCAGAATATCACTCTTCCTGCTTTTAATAAATAACGAACATAACAAAATTCATTCCATGGATCACTCACAAAAAATAGAGCATATAATGAAAAAAGTTACCTCTGAAAAGACAGAGCCTAATACAATTCGTTCATAATGGATATTTGAATATCGTGTTCAAGTTTTTAAATGAAAGTGATTATCTATTTCTTACAATTAAGTAAAGCTTACAACAATGTAAGTGCAAAATCCAATAGATTCAAGATAGTTAAAATGTATCCTTAACAAATTGCTAGTAAGGTTTTACAGTTACCATAGATTCGTATTTGACATTAAAATTGGACTTGCAGGAAACGAAATAGAATAAAAATGGTTATCATACTTTTTAAAAGAAACAATAGAATTACGACAGTTTTGAGACGATGACCACTAAATATTAATCACTGTGTTGTCATTTTGTCTCATTTATGTAATACGGTCATCAAATTAGGTAGCTGGCGATAATTGTGAACTGCATACTTTTGAAAAATAATAATAGGTATAAAATCAAACTTAATTAGTATCAGTACTCACTAGCAAGGTTCATTTTAAAAAACCACCTATCATAAATATAAATTTCTTCACACATTTTAATCCAAACAACTAAACAAAGGTTTTGAAAAGATATTGCAGTGAACGGAGACTCAGATACGGTATACCAATTTATTCTTTTATGCAAAATCGCAGTGCCAGTGCCTTTGTAAAATATAAAACTCATACATTGAATACACCATTTGTACATTTTCCTTGAGTTGTCCTTTACATACTCCATCATTCTTCCAATTCTGTTGTCATACCGACTTCTCACTATTTTCCTTCCTCTTTTCTTTATTTCAGTCTTCTGTTGAGAAGCATTCTACGTTCGATTCCTCTCACATACTACTTACATAGGTCCGCATAAGTAGCGCACACCATAATATTTGCAGCAAATACCCTTCTTTAAACGATAAACTGAATAAAGTAAATAAATCGAGTTGAATGATCAATTACTAATGCTGATCGAACTGCCCAATAATGATAACGTATTCAAATATGACAGATGAAGGTAGCTTCTTAACAAACAAATGTCAAAAAATGAGACCTAGATCAGCAGCTGCACAAAACGTAAAAATTTGAAACACGACACAGTAATCAAGTATAAGATTCTACGAAATCAACTTTGAGCTACAATTTTAGAGTAAGAATTAGTAATACAATCAGGTTACCTAAAATGAAGTAGATGGAATGACGTAAGGACGTCAGTAATAGTTTTAAAATTAAGTCCCTTGATCCAGGTTCAACAGGTCATGTTACTTCTTGTTAAGGACACTAAAATTTAGCTAATTTTCGTTGATAAATGTTAGTTTTCTTTCCTTTAACAATAACTACAAGCATGATTTTTCTAATTCGTATTTCCTCATGAACTTCAAAATTTCCTGATTAGCTACTATGACTCAATCATTAAATTTTTGCTTTCAGGTAATAACATCTAGTGACACTACACTAAATTTCGTTTTTCATAAAATAATCTTCGTACTTCGTAAATATCAATCAATGTAGGCCGAACCAAACAAAATTTCAACATGCAACACTAGTGTTAATATTAAAACGTTCGAGCACAGAAAATAAACAATTTTAAAGGAATATGTGAAGATTGGTTCACAAATTTTATTCACCATAGATTAATCTAAATTAGGGTGACATTGAGAATTATGGAGCACTAGACATCTGTTTCATCCTAAGATAAGACTCCTCGACAGTGCACACCAATGAACCTCATCAAAGATTGAAAATCGAACCTTCAGCTTTGAAAAGAAGCGAACGGTTCATCATTAGAACCACAGGGTGGGCATATAGTTTAAATCTCGTTCACTTATGAAGAAAATTATAAATACAAAAAAAATACTCAAATGTATTAAAATAACAAATCTATTTTGAAATGTTTCTCAAACTGAAACACTCACCTAATAATTTATTCAATTGTTTTTCTTTTGTTTCCCATTCAAATGCTTGATTATTGAAATTAGATTGAAGAATTTCTAATTGTTTCATGATTGGTTGCGTTGCAGTAGTAGTTGTTTCATTCAATAGATCAATTTTCAACTGGGCATCAGACAATAAACCCTAATACGATATATATATATATATATATATATATATATATATATATATATATATGAGAGAGAGAGAGAGTAAACAGTTTATGGATGCTATTAGTTTAAATAATGGCTGAAATATCCAAAACAGTTATATTCATTCGAATTTGTTATATCCGAAGAATAAATAGGTAGTAACTGTCATGAATTATTTATGGATGGTTTTTACATAAATAATTATTCGGTGGCTAGGTTATATATATATATATGAATAAGTATTTGAGCACTTTATTCGGTAGCCCAGTGTATTTTCTCGCTCAATTAGTCAGTAGGGAGGTTAGCGCGTAGCATACTGTGTACCAGTATCAAATTTCAGATGTTACACGTTACAACAATGCGTTAACTCATTAATGGAATCAGTCAGCTAAATGTACCTGCACAGAAGATTCGATGGTCAATCCAAGACCCGATTCCAGTAACATCTGATTCAAATGTCAACGCATTACAAACTTAGGTACCGAGTATTCTAGTTCGATTACCGTGTTGAGATCAGCTCAGTATGTAGCTCCAAGGTAAATTGTGTATATTAAAGACGTATGTGACTGATTATGAAGATCAAACTTATTCATTCTACAGCACACGCTGTGAATCATGCCTACTCACTAGTGCGCATTCACAACCTTAAATACAGGAAATCAAGAATGAGACCTTCATTCAGGCTCGTGAATGCTTAATTTCTAAGCCACCATCCAACGTATGAGCAGGCGCATATATGCATCGGTCCAAGTTGTCACACCTTATTAGCACAATAAGATGAACACCGAATTCATAGTAGTTACTTCAATGGTAGTAATATATAAAAGAAAAATTGAGTATGAGGACATGATACAGAGAGAAAGATTCACTTCATAGAAAGAACAGTATAAAGCAATTTTAAACTCGCGGTTTTAGGTAAGACAAATAGTGTATACACCTGCACCATTGTGATCGATTCTGAGCCATGTCATCCAGAGGCTCCAACTATTGGTTACGATAGTCACGCGTACCCCAACCAAGTAGTCTGCATCTATCAACATGCTTCAGACCAGGAGTTGGTGACTACATGGACTGACGCCACATTTTGTTTTGGCCGCCCCTAACTTTCTTCCAACCATCCCCAACACTAGTCAGAATTGCGCGTCGTGGTAATCGGTGTTCAGGCATACGCAACACGTGGACCAACCATCTCAGTCGATGAAGATTCACAACCTCATAAACTGATTTGCCATCATTCCCTAATCCCCAGCGTCTAACCACTATTCCTTACCCAGTGATCCCAGCAGATGCCAGCAATATTTCTGAGGCATCTGTGGTCAAATACTAGTAACTTACGGGTGTCTTCTACTCTTAAGGGCCATGTTTCGCTGCCGTAAATTAAAACAGAACGAACTGCCGTGCAGTATACTCGTTCTTTAATTGATAGACGGATATCTCGCCTTCGCCGTAGGTGACGTAAGTTGGCAAAAGCCAAACGAACTTTTCGAATCCGTGCTGAGATTTCGTCCGATACCAACCCATTAGGGCTGATCAGACTTCCAAGATAAGTGAAGTTGTCAACGCGTTCGACCACTTCACTCTTTATCCTTAATTCAGGTGTTGACGTAGACCAGTTCTGAAGCAACAACTTGCATTTAAATGAGTAGGAACGCATTCCAAACATCCTGGCATTCTTGCTCAGTACTACCAAAAGACTGCATTTCACCAACGTCTTTACCAAAGAGGAAAATGTCATCTGCGTATTCAAAGTCGATAATTGGACCTCCTGGTAGGAGATCAGTTCCTGATAATCCAGTCGGCGAGAAAGTTATTTCCATCAGTATGTCTAGGATGAAGTTGAACAAAAATGGAAATAGTGGACAGCCTTGCCAGACACCACTTGAGGTTGTAAAATCAGATGACAGTTAGCCATAATCTCTGACTCGACTGGTTGTTATCGAGTAAAGAGCCTTCACATGGTTTATGTACTTCTGAGCTACACCTTTCAATGACAGACACTGCCACAGAAACTCTCGGTCAATAGAGTCGAATGTTGCTTTTAAGTGAAGACCACCATTGTCGGACGCCGATAAGCATGCCTGCGTTCTGAAATCTGACGAATGGTGAATATGTAGTCGATACAGCCACGACAGTTCTGAAGCCAGCCCGATAATCATCGTGTTCAGAGCCTGATGTGATGGGTTTACGAGAATCTATTAGTGCAACAGACTTTGAAGAAATCCATTGGTTTTTTGTAACCTCATCGTTTAAACCACTAATAGATGTCACTGCTGTTTCCACAACTGATTATATAGCTTTCCAAGCAACATCTGGGTCAGCCTCGTTTTCAGAACAGCCTAAGTGTGGCCTCAGTTGTTTCTGGAATCTATTTTGGCTGTTCGTCACTGAGTCCAACTCTAATGGATCTTCTTAATGTGGTTTTTCTACGTCCAGCGAGGCCTAAGCGAATGAGTGCTCATATCAGAGCATGTTCGGAGTCCAAAGAGGTATTGCAGAAAGGGCGACCGTTTTCGGTTGAGCCCCTCCAACAATGACTGATGGCAATAAGGTTTATTTGAATCCATCGTTGGTTTGGTGCAGGGGGTCGCCATGTTAGACGATGTCTCTTCTTATTCTTAAAGTTAGTGTTTGCTAAAATAAACGATCGTCTGGGCACAGTTGCAGCAGACGATCACCATTATCTGTTCGCTGTGCCAGAATACTAAAATACCCACCTAAATGTCTTTCTGTTTGGTTTAAGCTACCTACTTGGACATTAAAGTTACCTCCTACGAGTACTATGTCTGAACGTCTAGCTTTTCGAAGAATTCCAGAGAGCTTTCTGTAAAAGTCATCTTTCACTTCATCCGAGCTGCAGTCAGTGGGAACGTAGGCAGAAACAACGTATGTCTCTATCCCCCGAATTCTTATGGAGACGTTCCGCTGAACAACATACAGACGACTGTTGATGGGGATCCATTCTAATGGTGCTTGTTCTGTCCTCGTACTCAGTGCTATGTCTACACCCGCCAGTCCACGAGAACTAACCATCGGGTCGCCAGATAAACGGAGGGTGTATCTCGTCGGCTCCCCGTTTTGGCAAGGTGAGGTCAAGTGAATGACCACACTAGGATCCTGTATGTGTGTTTTGGAGACACAGTATACATCAATGGTATGACACTCTAGGGTTTCGGCCAAAGAGGGTGCGTACATTGAAGGCTTCAATGTGTAGTTTGGAGCGAGGTTTCAGTAGACCTGGGGCAACGTTTCGCGCACTAGGATCGTTGGCCATGGTGACACTTGAGAAGAAAGTTTAGAGTCGAAAGTCGAGGTAGGAGGAATAATAGAAAATGAGGAGGGAGACTGATTATGAATACAGTGATCTTGAGTGCTGTTAGAAGTATGAGGGCGGTTATCAATTCCCGGTTGCCCACACCGTGAAAGGGTTCTTCTGGAGATGCCTGAAAACAAAATACGGTCAGGGGTGGGTCTTAGTGACCTGAGAACGTTACCTCAGTACCCGAGTGACAACTGCTCGAGGTGGGTCAGACACGAGCTTTTTGTGAGTAATTTTTGTGTTAGCTCTGTACTTGTTGAGACCTCATCACCGGAGACGGGAATTCGTGAGACAAGACGAAGTGTGCATTTCTAGGGTCGAGCCTTTCTAGTCCCGCTCTTTCTTTGTTAGAAGGCAGCATCGCTGTTATGCTGGTTATCTGAAGGAAACACCTTACTGCTGTCACACCTCTGTACAGTCAGCAGTACGATTTCGCCTTGGGTTTGCTGCTTTTAGTCTTACGGCTCTTCAACCGACCTATCTGGTATGGTAGGACCTTGAGAAACGATTATTTCAGCCAGTATAGCTCGATTGGTTCATTACGGTAGGAAAGCCCGATCACCACTTCAAGGTAGTAGCAACTGAAGATTATTACATTATTATTATACTGTTTATTGACTTTGATAATCTAAACGGAATGTAGACAGTAACCAATTAATCAGAGGCCTAGTTTAATTCCAATGATTGCATTTGTTATTGGTTTTTGTTATATATGTAATCTACAAGAACCTCAACATTACATAGCGTATTCCAATCGAAGTAACTGAATGTCTATGTTATGTCTTTTCACTAGACGATCGATACGCTTTTGTGAACAGAATCACATGTAGGAATGTTTCATCACACGCCTAACAAAATAATAGCATGTTCGTGAAACCCTATTCAAATGAAACCGATAAATTGTTTAATGTTAAAATAAGAACCGAAAGTTAACCTGGTAATACTGAATTTCTTCTCTCCATTTGATCGCTTGTTCTTCATGTTGTGTTTTAAATGCTCGTAAATCTCTTGAATTGCTGTTCAGTTTCTGTTTTAAGGTTTCACATTCAGCCTTTACTTTTTCTAAATCTTCGACACATTGACTTTCAGCTTGTGAATGACAGTGAATTTGATTCAACTGTTCTTTCAACTCTGAATTTTCACTAAAACAAAAGATAAGCAAGAGAATTAGGTAAAATTTGTAGACTTTTAATAATAATGCTATGATTACTAATTAAAAGCAAAGTTACGCCCTGAATTGGTAAAATAGTTTTGTCAGCAAAAACAGTTTTACGGTGATAAATACTTCAGAATGAATGCGTTAGGAATGGTCTAAATTATTGCTTACATTGAATATAAGGATTGAAGCAGTTCAGTATACTCACAACTTCACTTAGTATGGGAATTTCATCAACTGATTTAGAAAGCCTGATTGGTTTTCTTCAGCTTATGTCATCTGTGACGTAGTTGAGATGTCCGTCTGATGACCGAAGAGCATGTATACTGGAGATCAGTTCATACTACACTACCCCCTAGCTGTTAAATGTGGTTTGTGAAATTATAAATCTATAGGCTAAAGGTTTTGATCATAAGTTTCTTAAAAGCATTGCTTGTGTATCATGAAACGACTGAAAAAGTTAGTCTTCGGCAAACATGAAACATCAGTCGATGAGGCTGTGGATCTTCATCAACTGAAGTGATTCGCACGTGTACTACGTATCTCTAACCACCACCTATCTCAATACACAATGATAGTTTGTGTGCGAGTAAGATGAAAGAGAATTAGATGCGGCCCAACTAAGACGTGCCACCAGTTTATCAAGTCATTGAATGTTGGTTTGAGTAATGTTGTTAGATACAGACAATTTGGTTAGGATTAGTGTGAAAGCCACAATCAGTGGTTAAAGACATTTAGTAATATGCCTAAGAACCAATTAAAGCGGAACAAATGCATGCACTCTTCTTCAAGCCCTTTATTTGTATTATTCCTTCATACATACATTTTTATTCCTTTGTTTTGAATTGTTTGCAAAAAACCATTGAAACAAAGAGTGTTTATGTCAGGTAATTGAAGAAAAAAAAGAAAATACAGAGTCTGTGGCTTTTGTGGACCAATCGATAAGCCTATCTGACGTGGTAAAAGGACTGCTGCTTCCTATAGGATTCAAGCATGAGTCATCATCCAGTGTAACAGTAAGGGACACTACTAATCAGTTACTCATAGAATGACCGACTTCCCAGATGTGTTGTTAATGAACCTTAATAACTACGACACCAAGATTCAGAGCTTTCAGTCAGTCGCTCTTCTTTAAATAACAGAAAAAATTCTACCACGATGTTCAGTTATCTGGGCTGGTGCTTATACTTAACCGATTGAATATGATTAAAAATAAACAGACGATATGACATGCGATGGTTACTGTTGGCGGGACATAGGACTGGATTAAAGTATGTTCAATGCACGATCGCTTTGCTGCGCGCTGATTGGCTAATTCTCATCCAATCAGCACTAGTCGATAGTTGGAGAATAGTGAAAATTCCCACTTTGCGATTTGGTAAATAAAGAAGGAACGAATTGAGCGAAGAAATTTCTTTTCAATTAGTTTATCATCATGGCTCTACACTAATATATATACGTTTTTTAATAATAATATAATACTCATCGAGTAGATACGTCACGTATAGAGCCATGATGAAAAACTAATTGGAAAGAAATTTCTTCGCTCAATTCGTTCCTTCTTTATTTACCAAATGGCGAAATGGGAATTTTCACTATATTGAAACGTTCTGAGCAAGCATTTGCGTTAAAGGTTCTCAATGAGTATCTGAAGTATAGCGCAAGGCTCAGTGAGGCGATGACAAATGTTGATTTTATAAAGGAGTGCATAGAAACCAACTTGTATCCAAAGTTGTATTGGAAATCTTTACGTCGCTCTCGAGTTCGACCAAATGGAAGGACTTTCAAACGGTACGCCCTTAACCAAATCGATTCTCTAAACTCATACATTGCCGAGATGGTAAAAAATATCAACGAGAGAGTTGGAGAATACTCTAGAATCTTCTCATGTAAAAACTTTAAATATACTAACGTTTTCCCTATTGTGTTTCTTACTTGCTTCTTGCTTCCATCTAACCTTGTTATTTGGAATATAATCTCTTTCCTGTTCAACCGTGATCTGATTTGGGGACTTGTCGAGTGTACTGGTGTCCGAGAATACTAGCAATAGGAATAGCTGGGTCATAACCGTAAGAAAGAGATTATAACAGTTACCAACTGTGTTTTTAGTATACAATAATATGTATTACATGTACAAATACGTATATTTAGGATAAAAACATACTTACTTGATGAGAGTTTCCAGTTCCTGTTTTTGGTCAGATATTTTAATTTCATTCTTACTGATTTGAATCTAATTAGTATATGCATAAAAATGTTGCTTAGTAGTACCGCATTTCATGTATATTAAATAAATGAAACAAATACATTGTTTTCTTACATTTTCAGTCGAAAACTGATCACTTGAGATAAGAAGGAGAGTTCATGCTTTATCTATGTCAGTGTAACAATTTATGACATTTTTTACTATTCCCAGTGTAACATTTTAGTTAATATGATATCGGTATAAATAAATATATATATACTTGTAATATCCCAATGAGTAGAAAAATTAAATTTTCTGAAATTTTGAGAAAAAATAACCATATCAAAATTAATCCAAGTTAAAATAGTACAAAGGAACAACACAAGAATATTAATGTGCGATCATAACATCCTTGTGTTATTCCATCGTACTATTTAAACATGTATTAATTTTGATTTGGTTATTTATTCTCTGAAGAAATGATTTACACTGAATCACAAAATGTCAGAATATTTAATTTTTCTACTCATTGGGATATCACAAATATACTAATTTTATTATAATAATCTACCCACTGCTCAATTTATTTGAAATTATCAAGTCAAACTTTGATAATGATACCTACAATATGATATCGGGTTTATATCTCTCAGTGTAACATAATTTCAAGTCAATGTGTAACGTATCAATTAAGTGTTAGCTTTAATCAGAATGATATGTGTAAACTTTACGTCCAGTATGACAATTATATTCTTGTTATTATCTTATATGAACTTCGTGTACGTTCGACAGTAAACTTTTTCATTTATATAATGTTTAATTATTAACGACCAAGTGTGTATAAGATCAGTATATAAATGAATGTAATTGGTTTGACATCGTTGTTTTTTTAAGTTAGTAAATCTTTTTATCTCAATCTTTGAGTCTTCACTTCGCATTGTGGTAATCACATTAGTTCTCGTATCCAAGTGTAAGTAATAGGATAGCGGACATTACAAAAAAGTATTCATCATATCATTAGAATCCTACTCAACAATATAAGTAATCTAAATAGCAACTGACTTTTACATCTGAATCATTATTATTAGTAGTATTGATAATGTTATACATAGAAAAATATATACTAAGAAATTGAAAAGTGAAATATATTTCCGTGAGGATTGATTACCTTAAGAATTTCCTGTTGTTCTTCCAAATTATTTATCACTTTCGTTTGTCTAGTAGAATTGGCTGATTTAAAAAAGGTCGAATGAAGGAAAAAACATGAGTCAATAAATGACAGTGTTTACCCGTAAATTGATTTAAGAAAGTAACTATTGTTTGAAATGCTACTCGGTATACGTAATAATAGCAACCATAATGGAATAGAACACAGTTTTCATACATTTATCTTTGAATAGCTAAAACAACATATAGTATCAGGTATAATAGCATACTAGTCATACAAATTAGTGACAAAAAATACGTGGGTCTTATCTCGTTAAGGTAACGGTAGGAACCAAGGTGCACTGGCGAACTTATTCGACCTACCAACATACTCGTTTAAGTGAAACCTGAAGGTCCTAGATTCAACCCAAGAGTGGAATCATGGGTTCGTGCTGCTGAAAAGTCATGGAGTCGGACAGGACAGCTATCCATTACTGCTAGACTATTGATAATATCCCAAATGACATTAATCTGTGTAGAATATAACCTAAAAACAGAACCAATTTGAGTGAAACCACTTCAACAATAAAATACATTCGACGCCTAAGAGTTTGTAATTCAATTGCAATGATCAAGTATGAAGTACATTTTCATTCAAAAATAGCATTGACAATTATTAGAAAAATCAATTAATAGATAGATTTATAATTAATTAGTTGAATACCAAGTATCTCTTCCTTATTTTCTAAACTGCTTCGCAGCCGTTGAACTTCAACAGTTAATTGTTCAATTTGTTTCCTAGAACAAAAAAACACCAGTCAAATAACAAGGATAAATAAAATGTAGGAGTCAAAGACAAAAAATTATAATGATTCAATTATGATATTAAAGTACATAACAATTATACAAGTAATACACAAACAGAAATGTCTACAACACTTTTTTCACTCTTTTATTTATGTATTAAGCGCTAGTCGGATATCTTCAGCATCTAAAAACATTGTATTATAATGTCTATTTTACAGCTGCCTATTGAATGTGTTTATAAAACAGAATTGTTAGGCAAATTAGAGTTAGAACAAAACAAATTATACAGTTTTCAATTTTCGAAGGTCTAGAGACTAGCTTAAAATTCAATATGTAGGTAATTAATTGCCATAATCCATTCGAGTAAACTTTATATAATATCAAATCTACAATGATTTCATAAAGAGCTTCAAAGAAAGAAAGTTGAAGGAACTTTCAAAGGAGACTTGTAGAATAGATGTAGAGTGAGGCTAACAGTTGAATGTAAGATGAGCATTACATCCCGATTGGGACTTATCAGCTGGATAGTACATCCTGAAGCGAAAATAACGTTATAAATTGAATGAATAACTTGCTGAGAACAAGAAATAAATAATGACAAGGGAAAAACAGTAAAGAAATTTGACTATGAATAGTGATTTATTAGTTTACGTCATCAGAATTATACTAGACAGTAAGAGAAAGAATACAAATGGACACATTAACAAGTTTTCTTTATTTATAGAATACATATAGAGTGATAAAGACTGTAGAAGTATTAAATACACAATTCAACTTACAAATGTGATGCTTCTGTCTGCTTGCTTTTTTTCTGTTCTGAACGAAGCTTTTTTAATAGATTATTTGTCTTCAACTGATCAGCAGATAATTTATGACCTTCTTTTAATAAATTCTCAATTTCTTCATTTTTCTGCAAAATTACATTCTCTAATTCATTTACACGTTTTCTGTCATAATATTTAGGGAAAGAAAAGACGTAAACAATAAAATAATCAGTCAGTCACAAACAATGTAGAACCTAGCAAATATGTGCATCGGTTCAACTTGTTATATCATATTAGTGCATCCAGATGAAATTATCATGATGAATACCATGTTATTAGTATTGTGGTGTGTGCTACCTATACGGACAGATATAAGTAGTATGTATCAGGCATGGGAAGTAGACGTGAGAAAACTGAAAGCAATCAGAAAAAACAACAAGAATTGAGGAACAATGAAGTTTGTGAGACAATCCAAAGAAGTTGTGCAAATGGTGTATTTAATGTATGATTTTCATATTTTACTAAGCCATGGTGTGACTTTGCATTAAACAATAAATCGGTTAACCCCACCAAATCTTCGTTCACTACAGTATCAACAATAACGAAACAGATTAGGCGTAGAATGAATTCGTGAAATAAAAAGTACAAAATGATGTCGAAACTCGGGATCTAATTGTGGACAAAGAATGGATGTATATGCACCATTGCAACTGAATTTGAGACATATCACGAAAAGTATTCAACTACTGGTCATGGTGGTCGCCAGAACACCAACCAGATAGTTTACATCTACCAATATAGCCCATTACAACAGTTAGTGACGTAATGGACTGGCACGACATTTTGGTTTGGTCATCCCTAGCTTTCTTCCAACCTAATCACCTTCAAATCAATATCGCGCGTCGATGTAGGCGATGGTAGGCAACACATGATAATCGACGATTGACAGAATTATTTCTAAAAATCACTTAATTTGAAAAAAAGATTTCCTTTCCGAAATCTAATTAGCATGAACATCACTGTATAAAATCTAGATAAAGCCACCTTGATGAATAATAACCAACCCTCTACAATGTATGCATCTAAAATCTATCAATTACATAGGTTTGAGCAGACTAGTAGTATAAATAGCCCTCTTACATGAGGTAAGGTACACAGACGAATATAATAGATCAGTACACTTGGTAGATGAGTTACTTCATCATATTCCTCTAAAAAAGTACTAGACAAAATGGAAGTCTATAATTGACGAATAAGTTATATTAAATTCAACAGTCGCGCACCATTTCAATGTCCAAATTACTAAGTTTTACCACACCAAGTAAGAATTTAATAAGACGAAACCAATTTATTATAGAATCATTCAATAAATTGATTACACTTGGATGATAAACTTACATTTCAATTAAAGAATAATTTTGACTGATATATGCGATTAGTTTTATAGTTATGTTCAGAGTAAAATAAACACGTAATGTGGTTAAGTATCTGTTTAAGTCAATTTGTTCATATAATGGTAGAAACTTATACTTATAAATGAGCAACAAGTACTTAACGACAATTATGTTTGATATAGTTTTTTTGATGAATAGATAAAATAGATAGCGAACTCCATATGTAGAAAATAGAGTATCTGAAGGTTATGATGCTACGCCAAATTTATTTCGCTCGCAAGACATCCCGTTACCAAAATTATAGAACAGTGTATGGAAGTTGCATGTGTATGTGAAGTGTGTAAAATGTAGTATGCTTATTGCGCAACAGCAATAAGTATTAGATAAAAGCTTTAAAATGCTGAATCAGTGATTTAAAAAATTAACAGAATGATTGAAAACTGTATTTCTATGCTTTTGATTTAAGTTGGAGAATAACTAGCAGTAGAATACAAGACTCGTGTTTTGTCGTATTTAGGAATAACCAGTTGGATATACCCACCACATCCCAGTGTTGATGTTCAAACTGAGAATAGAACGCAGTATCTTTCTCTTTAAAGTTACCATGCTTATACTAGAACAACGGGAGGAAAGTACCTATACGTTGAAATTAACATCATGAAAATAAAAAAAAATGTATGCATGATGATAAAACGCTGAAACATTATAATAAAAGTAACTTACATATCATTATTTACAAAAGGTTTATCATCACCTACAGCACGTGTGATCACCGGAATTTTTTGTTTCACTGACGATAAACTTTTTTTCAATTGGTCTCGTTCACGACAAACAACCTGTAACCGTTTCTCTGTATCTGATAAACGTTGAGAAAACTCTGAGGTAATACTGGACACATCAGTAGTGACAATTTCTTGTGCGGTCAGTGTAGTTTTTAATTGCCTACAAAATAATAATAATAATAATAATTTTAAAACACTAGAAGATGTAAACAAAAGTTAACAGAAAGGAAGACACTGATAAGTAAAACTTCGATGCTGTAGAAGGATGCACCATAACCTTGAAATTAACATATCATGATAAAGATGCTCCAACATATATAAAGCCAATTATCGATGTAAGTATAACATTTAAAAGATAAGACGAAACAATACAACCGTTCGTATAAAAATGCATTATCAAGACCGTTTCAATAAATAGAGACAAAGCGTTGAGGGGAAAGGGAATTCAAAAGTGTATACCACTAGATTATCACTCATTGTTCTAAAATGCTGTGATCTCTTCAATATCTGGATGTCTTCGTCCCTATTCTCCATAAGGTTTGAGGTTCACTCGATTAAAGGGTCCAAAACCAGAGAGAAACAGGTTCCTGGTGTTTATTGCTTTCTAGTGCTTCTTTAACTTTTATTTCAAAATGAAAATATCTTCGCATTATACCAAATCTCTCAAAATCCGGACAGCTTCGATCAACCCGATGAAGCCTTCAGAGGTCCTCTGAGTTAATAGCTCATCTCCTAACCCACTCGGTTTAGTGCTGATCTGGAGCTCATTGGAACTGGATTAATTATCCTGACATAAATGATGTAATCATCTGATCTTGAGAAGCTAAAAGTAGGCTCTGCTGCCATTGAAGTAACAGTTTCATTTCCTCCATAAAAGTGCACATACTGATCTTTATGCGGACAGATTGTCTTGTAATACCAACCTCCACATGACCAGCATGGAGATGATTGATGATAAAAAAATAAAACGTTTAAAAATAATATAAACCCGAAAAAAACCACCTAATAAAAATAGATCATTTATAAAACATTAGTTTTGTAGAAACAATCACATGTTAAGAGATTTTCGAAAAATTAAACTGGATAACGAGAAAACATATATTTCTATTACATACTCTTGCAATATTGAGACTGAATTCTGTAGTACGTTGTTCTCATGGCTAAGTTGCATAATTTTTGCTTCACGAACATTTAGTAAATGTTTGACTTCGGAGAACTTCTGAAGCAACAAAAATAAACAGCATTGAAAAATATTAAACAATAAATTGTATGGAATATTTCTATGTGAATCGTTCAAGTTCGAGATATGCGTGAACTAATAAAAGTTTTCAAAGATACCTAGCTAGATTAGTCGAGTCAAATAAAACTACTTACGAATCGATTAAAGTTACGATGATAAACTACTGAATGTATACTCTGTGGTCTAGAGGTTAATCGCTCGCAGAGAGACACGAAAGCTTTAGGATCGATCACCGGTAGGGATCACGGATGAGCACTGCTAAGGAGTCATATACCTGAACAGAACAGCTATCTAGTGCTTCTCGGTTTTTAATGGCTGACGAACAAAGGTTAGTCTATAGTATAAACTATGAAGTAGTTATAAGTATGTATCCATGAGTAATTCACCTCCTAACAGAAACAACCACTGAGTTGAACAGAATTGGAATTAAATTATCTAACACTGAGGAAATAAACTCTAAAACATGCTAAAACGTGCTAGAAATCACATTATGCTGCTAAAATTGTTATTGTATTTATTTGGTGTGATATCCAAATTTATAGTAGTATCTTCTTTTCATGAATCTAAAAGCACTATCACCCAATACTCTTACCCGCTCTTCACGTCATAGTATTGGAATTTATTCCAGTCCATAAATTCTATGTAACATCAAATTAGTAAAGCAGTAAGTTGGGAATTAAATGAATCCTGATATCGGCATACAACTTTATAATTAATATTGGGAAGAGAAAGCTCAGAAAGTCCAGAACTTAGAGAAGCAATAATCTACTCTAAAGTTTTTACCTACGGAGTTCTTATAGAATAGTTCAAGTTAGACTATGCATAAATGACGATCAACTAGGATTAAGCTTTCTGATGTCAAAATTAATATTACGTTTGTGCCTAAAATGTTATAAAAGATAAGTTTCATCAACACAATCAAGATAATAACAATAACTAGGTCCTTTGAGTTGCTCATTTTCACTCCATTAAACTTGATCACATACTTCTAGAACCTCGAAAATTATCATCATAAATCTGTACATCAAAAAAATTTCCAGATTCACACTGGACTTTCCTAACAATCCTTTACTCTGTGAGAATGCATTACTACTAAAAGTCCTGGTTATTCTTAGGAATTTTCTTACCAATCCCACATCCAGTACAGTTAGCAATCACTATGATTTCTCCAACATCTGAAATTGACTACGTTTGCTTTTAGCTGCTCTCCAGCCAATCTACCTGACACCATAAACAATTAAGAAATAGACATTTCACCTAACATAGCTGCTACCCTAATATGTTGAGTGTTGGATGCCTAAAACACTGTACCGTTACTAAATTATTGATCATGAACACCATATAGTATCATTTTACGTGCTTGAAAAATTAAACACAAAAACGGTCATAGCCTAAATTATCATAAAAACTAGGAACTGTTTTTGTTAGGAGGTAGGTATATTCTCTAGAGGATTTCAAATCCATATTAAACAAAAATCAGTATCCATATGTTTAAAGAATAGTAAATCTTTGAAAAAAAATTTTAGAATAATACTAATCTCACTAACCTTAGCGAGGTCATGATAGGCAAATGTCAAATCATCGTCAATAGTATTTTGCAAACCTTTACAATTAAAACAGAAACAAACAAACTTATTTTTGTCGCCGAACATGTAGTTTAAGTTTATGAACTCGGAATTATCGGCACAAAGCTTTACTATTTCAATTTCATTTTAATCAATATGTTTTTCAGTACAACTGTTACTTGAATAAGAAACAGGTAACTGTTCAAGTTTTTTAGAAACCAGATGAATAAGTTTTTATTATTTTTATCCTGAACCATTCATCATAGAAAATAATCTTAATACTTTTTGACAAAGGTAAGATCAAAGAACAGTTGTTCATGAGTTCGACAGGGAGTTGTTAAGTATGTAGACACCATTGACATACAGTTTACTGATCTGAACCTTGATTGAGATGAGAATTTCCATTTTCTATTTCGACTTTTTAAATAGATAAATAGCGAATTGGTCTGTCAAAAATCTAATTTGGTTAGACCAATCAGTCAGTCATAAGCTATGTAAAACCTGACACATGTGCATCAATTCAAGTTGCCACACCAAATTAGCACGTCGAGATAAAATTATCAAGGCAAATCCCGAAATAACAGAAGTAGTAACACCGTCATTAATAGTAGGGGAATTGTGTATGCTTTTTATGTCTCTCGACATAAGTAGTATGTAACGCCAATCAAAAGTTGAATGGCTGTAAGCAGATAGCTAAGAAGACCGGATTGAAGAAAGCAGAAAGGAATTGAGAAGTGGAAGAATCATGAAGTATATAAAGGATAATTGATGGAAGATTTGTAAATGAAGTATTTAACGTATTTCTTTTCAATCAGTTTTTCATCATGGCTCCACACTAATATATATATATATGAGCAGAGCTTTGAAGACACTTATGATAGAATACTAGTAGCCTACAAATATTTATTCTTAGTGGTTATGTTTTACACCCATAAAAAAGGGTGAACTGATGAATAGTAAACTTTTCTAGAGTCGGCAAACGTACATCTCACCTATGCTACAAATGACGCAAGTTAGCAAAAGTCACTCACACTTTCTGAATCCCTTACGAGATTTCGCCAGACACTAACACATCAGGGTTCGTGAGACTAACATACGTTAAGTGGTCGATCCCTTCAACTACTTTAATCCCTATCGTTAATTCAAGTGTTGATGTGGGTAGGTCCAGAAGCAATATTTTCAGTTGAAAGGAAAAAATAACATCACAAGCATACTTGCACTGTTCTTCGTGGTGATCGTTAGAATCCGTATTTTGTTATCATCTTTACCAAACAAAACTATCATTTGACAAATTGCTAAACAGTTAGACGATGAGGACGTTGCAACTGTAAGAACGTCTATGACAAAGTCGAACGAAAACGGAGAAAATGGAGAACCCTAATGGACACCACTTGAGGTAAGCAATTCTAATGACAGCTCACTGTGAGCTTCATTAGTCCAATAAATAATCGAACTCAGTTATGAATATACGAACGTGTGCAAACGAATAAGAATTATAATATGATAAGCCCAGGACTGCGGAATTACACTTTATCCAAACATTTGTTATTTGTATAAAACAGATTTAGCTTAATATTTTATAGATCGTTCATTGAAATTGGTCCCCATTTTATATGATCATATAAAATCTGTGGGACTATATAAACCCACATTTTATGCTTGTTGGGACTCGTCAAAATACATAACTACACAATTAAGGAGTGCATTGAAATCCTTCCTCAGTGCTCTAATATGTACCACCCAAATACTCCGCAGTCAAGGGCATTAGCATAATTAGGAAACCTCGAACCAGATTTCGATAGTGTTAAAAGACACTTTTGAAACATCGCCATGATTTAAAACAAATTTATGCGCATTAGATTACTCAACTCAGTAGAAAAGAAGCTACTATATTATGGTGTCTTTTCCACTCAGTTACCCTAGACAAGAGTGATGAATAACAAGAAATCAATATTTGACACAATCTAAGATTGGATATGTTTAGGCTTTACTCTATGCCACCTAATTCAGTGAAAATGATTTATTTCTCAAGTGATAAAAAGTTTTTAAAACAGGTTAAGAATTTAAGTAGAATAAACGGTGTATTTCACTTATCACTAATAGCAATTTTACGTATAAGCAACAAACCGCGTACAGATAAAATACCTGCCCTAAGAAATAAATGTATGTGAGTTTTAAATGCTGTTGGGAGTATAAGGGTGGTTTCCCCTTCTCGGTTGGTCACACCGTGGAAGTACATATCTTAAGGGAATTGAAACAGAAACTGGATTAGGTGTAACACTGCCGACTTGGAAGAGTAATCAGTGCCTAAAAGACAGCTCCTCGGGGCCTTTTCTTGGATAGCCTTAGATAATGTCACCTCAATCACTTTAAGACCTTGATGATGGACGTCCTTGGAGTAAGGACATGCGTGTTATTTTGGTCCAAACTTCCCTAACTCCTCGTCCATTCATGAGAATGCAACACTGATGCAGATACTGGTTGTTTGAGGAGAACTCCATGCTGCAGTACGAATTTGACCACGGACTATGGGCCTGTTATTTTCAGTTTTACTGCCTTCCAACCAACCTGCCTTGTACAACAGAACCTAAAGGAACACATTCCCCAACGAATTTTGCCAACATATTTCTACTGAGTTACTACGATATGGAATCACGACCATCAGTACATGAAGGTAACAGCTACGGCTGGAGGAAAATACATATGAAGCTAAACAATTGATCTATAAATATGTTTCAGATGAATTAAGGACTTTAAAAATATTTTTAGACTGAAGTGGTCTTTCGAAATGAAACGAACTTTTCTTCAACAGTATTAAATAGATTTTAATCAAAAATAATATGAACAAAATATTCATTACCATTGAGCTTACCCATACATAAATCTTGCGAAACACTAACAGATCTACGATGTTCAGGACCACTAGAACTAAGAAAGTGGAGTAACGAGAAGTTAAAGAAAACAATAAAACTAAAATATGAAGGTCTATGATGACATAGTATTTGGTGGAAAAAAATAGACATGTTGAAAGATGAAACTTTCCCCAAAGTCAGACTTCTTCCAAATATAACGCTGCATACAAATTGACAGCTTGTTATGCATAAACGTTTTCACATCTTGAAATTGTATCTACTTATCACAGAAATCAGAAATTAAAAATGTAATCTGATGAAACAAAAAAATGCACGAGATACAATAATGCAGAACTTTTGATAAGTGTTGGTTTGTTTCCAAATTTGTAATATCAATTATAATTTATGATACTCTAACAGTTAGTATATTGATTTGCATAAAAACGAAATCAAGATCCCAGTGCTTGCTTAAAAGAAATAATTGAAGCGTTTAAAAAAGACAACCAACAAATCTAAAATACTATATTAGGCTTACCATTTGTTTAAAACAACCGGAGCACTAAATCCTCTAAGATAATATTTTTGCAAAACAAGTGAGTTTTGATTGAATCCCAATGACAGACGTGGCTCTTTAACAGGAGACATAATAGTAGGTGTATTAGAAGAATGTAACTCGTGGACTTCACCACCATATGTAGAATTACAACACGAAATTACTTCAATATCCGAACTAGTGGTATTAGTATCAAAATCGTCATCGGCACATACTGGTTGAGTAGTGAATGGTAGTACTATATCAGATGAAGAACGATGCAAAGAGGTTATATCTTCATTAGGAATTGATTTATTCACTAACTGCAATTCCTTTTCTAGGGATGTCAATTGCGAATTTGCATCAACAGCTGATTCTTGTGCAATGTATTCCGAAGAAATTGTTACTTTTGGTGCATCACACTTTTTTTCACATAAATCCTGTGATGTTTTTTGTTCAGTGACAGTAGAACAATCATTAACTAATGTAGAATCTATTTCCCACTGTAATACAGAAATATTAAGTACTGATTAGTTTGACAAATGGGTATTTAACTCTGAAAGTAAGTATGAATGTGTTGTTTAGATCAATAAAAGTACCAAGGCTATATTGCACTGCAACAGGTAATTTTCTAAAGTTCTAATATAAAAACAGTACCGTCAAAAGACCACTCATCGTATCTTCACCGAATAATTCGAGCGCAGTCCAGCAAACCTAAACTGTATGGGTATCGATAATAGAGCTAAGGCGAGAAAGCAAACACAACACTGAAAAAAAATACCACTTTAAGGGTCATATCTTAGCTAATCTAAATGAAAGGATGAATCCCACAAGTACACTATAATCTTCAGGTGTTCTATAGACAATTATCCCTCAGAGAACTATCCAATGATTTATCTCTTACTGAATTCATGTGAACTGATTTGCTTTCTCAAGTCGTTCTGATTTATTAAAGATAAATGAATAATGTAATACTGTGTGAAAAAAAGTTCAGAAAATATAATAAGAAGCAACCCAGTTATTTATAACGCACAACAGATATTTGGAGTGACAGCAAGCAACATGTACGTGATGATATATCCGCTTTTAGATAATGAAATACCCTTTTAAGTCGTACAGTGAATTGCAGACCAACATTGAAGCAACAAAATAATATGAACTGCAAAAGTAGGTATAATCACATGGTTACTTTCCTTCCACCTTTTAGTATTGGATTGATAATACATACCGACTGTACTTCGTAAAAAACTATATATGAGCATACTTGTTGCTCTCTTACAACCTATGATAATTGAATTGTTACAAACTTACTTCAGATTCATAGATAAGCTAGTTTCATGTAAAATAGAGTAAACTTAAACATTTCATCATCTATAAGTGACACCTTAAAAACGAACAGGAATGCTCTGTGTACGAAACAGATAAATCTTTATTCTACGTCGTTCATGAACAATTACTTTGTGATTTAATTTTTCAGTTTGTGTCAAAAACCAATTCCAAAAAGTAGGTTCGCAGATTCATCGAATGGGCGAGACTATAATTTATGGACGAACCAATCAGATTTACGATAACAGGTCGTGAATTTTGGCGCGAAACTAATTAATTCATTTGTATAAATAGCATTTTGCCATTATAGCTGATGTCAGTTCTTGATGAAAACCCTAAATCTAATTCCTAACCCTAACTATCAACTGTACATATTAATCCTAATTCCTCACACTGGTTTATAACCCTCACATAACCGCAGTAAGTGAACATTTTCAAGATCTTTTTAGCATCGCTCAAAGGTCGTCCACAAAGTATAGTCTCACCTACAATTTTATTACCAACCTCAAAACAACCAACAATTGTTTGCACTTTCGTGTAGTAGCATAAGATAACTGCAAGGAACTTAATGAAGCAGTTCACATGAATCAGAGAATAAGTAAATCACAATTTTTCCTAGCCATCCACAACAAAAATCAAATTCGCCTACAGAATGTATTCGAATTAACACAAAATCAAGAATGTATCGTGTTAACGACGTAAACTTATTCGACATAACTACATACTAACTGAGAAAGAAGGTAAGAAAGTCATATACAGTTTCCTCGACAAGTATTGCTTCACGATCGAACCGAGATCACTAAAATTACAGTTAACTGACAAAGTAAAATATCATCTAGCTAATGTGAATCGATTTGGACCACTATGAAATAATGAAGCTGATCGTTCGGATGCCCTAGGTTATAACAGATAGATGAAAGTTTCAGAGTTATATCCGAACGAACAATAGGCGGATGGTAACTGCTAGGATCTATTTATGAACTGTTATATATATATATATATATATATATATATATATATATATATATATATATTCTTATTGCATAACTATTCAGTAACTATATGATATACGTACTCACATTCCTTTTATTATAAGCTTCCGTTTGACTTATTGACTATTACTATATGACTTACTATCCTTAAGATATTCCTGATTTATTGGTTACATCCGCTCACAATCACATTCACTTTTGGCCTAATCTTGTATAATTGTTATTTTCTGTTTTTATGGTATGATGAGGTCTGGCTTGATTGTATATAAACTGTGTGTGTCTGAAATATATTATTCGTTTAATGGTGGCTGATATTGGTGATCAAGACTAAACCGGCTAGATTAAGAGAGAAGCTATTAACTCAATGGACCAATAAGAACTCATATTTGTCTCTGGACTGTTCATACTGGTTCATGCATCATTTGGGGGACTTGTCGAGTGAGTCGGTGTTCGAGAATACTAAGCAATAGGAAGAGCTAGGTTATAACCGTGAAAGAGAGAATTTAACAGTGGCGACGAGGAAAAAGGAAAACAAAATCAAGATGTCCATATCAGATGACCAGCTTAACCGAATACTACAACAACAGCAAGCACAACTTGATGCACAAATGCGGTTGTTGCAGACTCTGGCTCAACAGCTTAACATTCACTGCCCGAGTTCAGATGCTATTTCAAGCACGTCTTGTGATGCAGTCGCTAGCATCATCCCAGAATTCATCTATGATCCCGAAAGTGGAAATACTTTTCTCACGTGGTTTAAACGTTGGGAAGATACATTTACACAAGAATTCTGTAACAAAGACGACGCGTGGAAGACTCGACTGTTGGTACGTAAGTTGCGAAGCAATGAACATGCACGTTATACTGACCATATATTGCCAAAGTTACCTCGAGAGCTCAGTTTCGAGGAGACGGTAATTCAATTGTCAGAGATATTCGGTGAGTCATCCTTATTGTTTAGTATTCAACATCGGTGTCTAAATTTGGTGAAACACGAAGCCGATGAATATGGTGTTCTAGCAGACATCGTCAACAGAGAATGTGAACGGGTCAAGTTACGCTCGTTGACAGAAGATCAATTTAAATGCTTAATATTCATCAAAGCTCTTCAGTCACTACAAGATGCTGAGATCAGGACTAGACTTTTGGCTCGACTGGATCAAGACCCAAACGTCACACTCAGAACACTGACAGATGACTGTAAGCGGCTAAAAAGCATCAGACACGAAAACGAGTTGATTGGACAGGCAAATCCTAATTTAACCTGCAGTAGTCTCAATGCTATTACTAGGTTAAAAGTTCAGAAGCCGATAACAACTGGTAACAAACCAACGACTGCATGCTGGTTATGTGGTGAGTGGCATTATGTACGATTCTGTCCATTCAGGCATACACGTCAGGTGTGTAACAAACGTGGACATAAAGAAGGTCATTTTCCACCGAATCGTACGTCTCGGCCCAAGAAGCGCAAGCGTCCTTGACGCACCAGATCCTACGAATCTGCTCAAAGGGGAGGTGTTAGCGGGACATAGACTGGATTAAAGCATGCTCAATGCACGATTGCTTTGGTGCACGCTGATTGGCTAATTCTTATCCAACCAGCGTTAGCCAATACTTAGCGAACACTCTAGAAATCTCATGTGAAAAACTATAAATATACTAACGTTTTCCCTATTGCACTTACTTGCTTCTTACTTCAATGTAACCTTGTTATTTGGAATATAATCTCTTTTCCTGCTCAACCGTGTTCTGATTTTGGGGACTTGTCAAGTGAGTCGGTGTCCAAGAATACTAAGCAATAGGAATAGCTGGGTTATAACCGTAAGGGAGAGAATATAACATAAGTCGGTGTTTCTAAATGGGGACTAAGTCACACGATACATTAACAGGCCATAAGTACATAACAGTCAGCTTAATCTGAGTATATTGAGTTGACCTGGAACTCATACTAAATTACCAAACCAGTCAGTCAGTAATAACGTAGAACTTCGTACGTACGTACATCAGTTCGAGTTGCCATACCACATTAGCACAGATATGCAGTGGTCGATTCAAATCTCGTAGTGGTAGAGGTTCCAAAAGTATAGGTAGTAATCGGAAAGATTAGGGTTTGAAGATGTTCGTTAAGGAGTATAATACAGTGAAATAAATTTGGAAAGAGAAAAAAAGGGACATGAAGAATTCAGAAGGCTACCACTTGGGAGAACACAAAGAGTGGATGCACCTGCGCCATTGCAAACGATTTTGAGGCATGCCATTCAAGGTCTGTAACCATCGGTTGTTATCGTCTCGCTGATCCCAACCAGGTAGTCTACACCTACCAACATGACTCAGTCCACTTGTCAGTGACTTTATGGATTTGTGCCATGTTTTGGTCTGGCCGCCCCTAGCTTTCTTCCAACCTACTCCTACACCATAAAACATCGTACGTTGGGGCAGTCGGTGGTTGGGCATACGTAACACGTGTCCCAGTCATCTCAACTGACAAAGTTCCAATACTTCATCAGTTGATTCACCATCCTTACCTAGTATCCGCTTCCTAACAACTGCATTACTTACTCGGTGGTCCCAAGATACACGAGCAATGTTTCGAAGACACCTATGATCGAATACTAGTAACCTACGAATATCCTCTACTCTTACCGGCTATGTTTCACTGCCATAAATTAGGACGGAACGAACTGCTGCGCAGTAAACACGTCCTTTGGTTGATAGACAGATATCTCGCCTACGCCATAAATGACGCAAGTTGGCAAGAGCTAGTCGAGCCTTCTGTATCCTTGCTGAGATTTCGTCACACGCCAGACCACAAGGACTGATGAGACTTCCAAGATTAGTGAAGCGGTCGACACGCTCAACTACTTCACTCCCTATCATTAGTTCGGGTGTCGATGCAACCCAATCCTGAAGTAACATTCTGCATTTCGAGGGGGGAATCGCATGCCGAACGTGTTTGCATTGTTGCTTAGAGTGGTCAGAAGACTCTGCATTTTGTCAGCGTCTTCATCAAATAGAACTATGTCATCGGCATATTCCAAGTCAACAATCGAATCTCCCGGAGGGATGTTCAACACCTGGAAATTTAGATGAGGAAAGTGTTATCTCTAAAAGCATGTCTACGATAAAGTTAGACAAGGATGGAGAGAGTGGACAGCCCTGACGAACACCACTTGAGGTAATCAATTCTGATGACAGTTCTCCATAAGTTCTCACTCGGCCAGTTGTGTTCGAGTAGAGGGCTTTTATAAAGTTAATGTACTTCTTTGGTACTCCTTTCAGTGACAAACGCTGTCATAGAATCTCACGATCAACAGAGTCAAATGCCGCCTTAAGGTCAACCTACTTAACATAAGACAGTAAGCAGCTGTAACATTTCAAATAGGCCTGATCTAACACACTTTACATGTTTTGCTTTATTATAAATTTTCATTATTGTGGCATGGGTTAAAATTATACAAACACCAAGCAGACACACTGTAATGTCCAATAAAAGATGGAACTGACGTGGTTTATTGACCACTTGTAAAACAAAATATCCTTTTCTTGTTAACCAATGAATCAAATTTACCTGATCTCAATATTCTAGATTGCTATACACACATGAAAAAATATGCTTAAAACCTTGAATATATAAAATTATCAACAATAACGTGTTCGAAGTTAGAAACAATGGGATTATTCGATTATTTTATGGACTGTAAAATGAGATACTATTTGATCTAAAGAAAACGTGTACACGATTTTTGTAACACCACCCTGACAAAATGGAGAACTACATGCGTGAAAAAGCATTTGGGAGCATTTTAAACAGGATAAGCGGAAATCAAAACGAATGAAATTCTGTCTGGCAAAAGCAAGTAACAAGTATGTACAAAGCAATAAATCTGTCACGTGTAAAACTTAGCCGGTGTTTTAAATTTAAGTGAAATTAGTAACAAACCCTTGTTACTAAAAGTTGGGTCATGCATAGATTGTAGAAGTGCAAGAATATCGTAATACGCTCTTAGAAAGTTGCACATCAAAATGTCACCTCATAAATATGAATTTATCGCTGTTTGTATTCCATCCGACAAAAAAATATCATGACCTTAACAAAAAAGACAGATATTTTTAAATGTTCAAAACAGTGAGTGGAAATGGTAAAATAAGATCTGTTTGTATATATCTTTCTTAGTAGAAGAAAACATAAGATGTGAAGACCTACCAACTCATCAGTTTTAGTGTTCTCATCAGTTAGCACCTTATCAGAATCACTGGATGCGAAATTGTCTGATTGATCGTAAACAACTTTTTCCAGAGAATCCACAAGAGGTGAGTGATGACTTCTCAACCTTGTTGAACAAGATCTCTCCAAATCTCCACAATCGCTGCCTACTTCACACTCAGATTTCTCTGAAATTAGGTAGTAACCAGTGATGTTAATTAATGAATCTAAGAATGAAAAAAGCTTTCAGCCTCACTTTACTAATATTATTTGAGATTGAAAATACGAAGTAAGCATATGAATGCAATACAAATAAACTAAAAGACGTTACCTGTAATTATATTAATCTTCAATGTTAACGACTTTTCTCACAGTTAATATCCTATGCCATCGAACTGTAATTTTATACCGCCAAAAAGTTACATCTTTATTTATTTTTGACAATGGAACACTGAATTTAGATAAAATAAACGGTGATGGTGCTAGTGCTATTGCAAACAAATAACTTATTCAAGAAATGAGATTTTATTTATGTATTTATTTGAACACATAAATATTGGTACAAGGAGGCACCAGATATTTATGCGCCACACAAAACAATGTGAATGAGGAGAAAAAAAAGAAAAGGAACAATAAGGACCAGATTAGTGTAACGAAGTGTAACAATAATAATAATGGGGGATACGGAAAGGTACAATCAAAAAGAATTCTTTCAGTTAAGGAAGATACAACCATTTTTTTTATGAAGAAAGTAAAAGAAGTTTACAGCAGGATCGCCACTGGCTTCTATTTTGAGCCATATCTGATAACGTCTCTAGCCACTGTGTTTCAACATCTCTCCGACCTAAGCCAGCGAGTCGTGAAAGACCAACAGAAGCCAGTCCCGTGCAGCTTTCTTTCATACCCCGACACCATGTCATACACTGACCACCTCTCCGCTTGTTCCAACTAGTCCCAGAGTCGGCAAGTAATGCACGACGTGGGATTCTCTGGGACAACATTCGTAGAATATATCCAAGCCACCGAAGTTGACGTTTCAGGATGATGACACCAATTGAATTATCGTCTCTGCGCCCAAATACATGATGCCAAACCTCTGCATTACTGACATGGTGTTGCCACTGGATGTCAGCAATCCTTCGGAGACAACGATGATCAAACACAGAGAGTCGTGTAACACCCTCAACTCGGAGAGGCTAGGTTTCACAAGCATAGAGCAAAACTGCTCTCACCGACGCGTTTTAGGTCCGACCTTTTACAGCCAGACTGACATTACGAAGGCGCCAAAGATGGCGCAGATTGGCCTAAGCCGCTCCAGCTCTCACCATACGTGCATTGATCTCATCACTCACACCCCCACCAGCACTTATGCAGCTACCTAGATACACAAACTTCTAGACTACTTCTATCTGCTCCACATCTAGAGTGAGTACAGGATTAGAATCCCGACAGTCTTGTAGAAGTACTTTGCACTTCAAACGTGCGAAGCACATACCGTACCTACGGACATTGATTGACCACTGATTAAGTGCGGATTTCATGACTTGGACATTATTACAGAGTAAGACAATATCATCCGCATACTCAAGGTCGAGAAGTCTTTCTCCAGGCAACCGATCAACACTGCCATTAATTACAACCATCAGAGCTGTTTCCAGAATGTCATCGATGGCAAAGTTGAAGAGGAGTGGTGAGATTGGGCAACCCTGTCTAACCCCACTGCTCGAATGGAACAATGAAGAGAGGTAGTTGTACGCCGTCACTCTGAGTTGTTTGTATATAGGGCCTTTAAGATGTTAATTAACTTCTCAGGCACACCCTTCTTCAATAGACAGTCCCTCAGAACAGTCCTGTCCAACGAATCGAAGGCAGACCTGATGTCAAGAAACACTACGATTGTTGGACTGTGATAAGTATGACGGTGTTCTAACATTTGGCGGAGGGTGAAGATATGATCAATACATCCTCAACCAGAACGAAACCCAGCCTGCTCCTCGAGAGTCAATCTTTCTCGAGTTTTGAACAACCTACGAAGTATGACGGAAGCCAATAGCTTGGACGCGATCGGAAGTTGACTTATCCCCTGATATTTGTTACAGAAACGACGTGAACCCTTTTTAAAGATAGGGACAACTATCGACTCATTCTATGACGTTGGTACACTCTCTAGCTCCCAAACCTTTGTAAACAACGTTGTCAGTTATTTAACCAGGAAGTCACCACCATCTTTAAAAAGAGCCGGAGGTAAGTCATCTGGACCAGGTGATTTGTAGCGCTTCAAGAGTTGGAGTTCCTTGCGGAATTCCGCCTCATTTGGTGGATCAGTCGTCACCGGTCATGGAGGGCAGGACAGTCTGACCGATGTTGCCGAAGCAGCAGGCCAGTTGAACTGTCCCTCGAAGAATTCTGCCAATCGTCCAAGACGTCGATGGATGTCAGTGATTGGCATCCCGTCATCCTCGCAGATTGTTTCACTCACACCAGACTTCTTGCTGCCAGTGGCTCGGATGAGCCGCAAGCGGCTTTACTCGCCATTTTGATGGCGTCGTGAAATTGCTACCAACTTGCTGACATCAATCCTTTGGTGGCGGTCACTTCGTTGGCCACTGAGAAGTAAGGTAAGATTGGCGCAAACAAGGGCATGATCAAAGTCCAGATAGGTACACCAAAAGCAGTGGCAGTCTTGTACGCAACCACGCCAGCGGTAGCTGATCGCGATGTGATCAATCTGAGTCCAGGCTTGAGATGCAGAGGGAGGACTCCAGGTGGCACATCGGCGATGACTGTGCCGAAAGTTAGTGCTAGCCAGAAACGGGTTGTGGTATGTACACAGTTGCAGTAGACGGTCCCCGTTATCTGTCCTGCGACCAATACGTCCCAATCGGCCACCTAAACGATTCTCTTCTGTGCCTAGACGCCCGACCTGAGCATTCAAGCCTCCAGCTAGTACTACAATGTCTGTCGGACGCACTATCTGGAGAAGAACAGTTAACTGGTTATAGAATTCATCCTTGATTGCATCCGGGTTGCAATCTCTCGGGAAATAAGCAGAGATGACGAAAAGACATCGTTTCTCACACCGATTTCTTCTCACTTCGATAAAATAAGCAGTGGGCGTGCTAGTGGCATTGCAAACAAATAACTTATTCGAGAGATGACAAATACTATGCTAAGTTTAATGTCACCACCACAGCGATTATCTATTTACAAAATGCTTCAATATGAGCGCTTATGTGAACTACTCGTACCAGAGCAAAGACTGAAACAATGTATGAAGCTTTATAAAAATGTAATTGTCTAGGGCTCCATGCTTCCTTTGAGTAAAACAATGATGCATCAAGAAAAAGATTTAAGAAATTTAAACGATACATGTAGTAAATAGAAGAAAGAAAACTGCAAAAAAACGAACGGCAACACTGAATGAAAGATATAGAACAATTTGATGTCGAAGACGTATAGGAAGATCATGATAGTGAATACAAATTGCTTAATGTAACTGATTTGAAGTGTATCACTAAGTCTCTTACTAATGATTACAGTCATTTCATCAGTCCCCATTAAAAAGCTTGCTTTCTTAAATTACTAAACCAAAGGCCAATTATATGTATTAACAATTTATCGATCTGATCCTATCTAAATGTTTTTCCGTTCACGCACGCAGTTACAGCGGCTGGAAAATTCATATCAGCAGTTTTGATATAATTGGACGTTAGAAGACCAACATTCAATTCATATTAACTGATTACAAGTTCTGTATTTTCTGATCATTCTTGACTGAATTTTTGTTGTTTCCTTGGTCAGGATTTGTCTTACGGTCAGTTATTACTAAGTCGCTCCAAACATTTTGTAGCTTCAACCGATCAACATTATACGGCTGGTTGTGTTTACAACAATCAAAATCACGATCAGTCACACAAAAAAACCAAGACAGAATCCTAATAACACTAGTTCCAAATATATCACTCGATGATGGTGTACAACCTCATCAGTCGCTTTGCCACCATTGCTTAATATTCTTCTTCTGACAACAGTTACACCTACTGAGTTGTTTGACTAGACAGGAATAGTTTTCGCAAACAACTATGTGGAAACATGACTCAACATTTATCTGTGCCGCGTCAGATGTTGATTATTACTGACTGAAATATCTATGATGAAATACATGGAACATGCACGCCAATATTTTCAAAACATAAAGTAATGAAGGCACAGCTGTTATATTTTTTCAGCAAAAGATAATTGGGGGAGCTATGCAATAAGCGAAATAACTTTTTAAAACCCAAAACACTTTGAAACCCGAGACTTTGTCAATTACAATCTACTAAGGGTGATCAATGGTGGCGTGCTTGAATATCTGGGCAACCTGTTCCTGTCATTAGGATATTTCAGTAAGTTATCTGTTTCCCTGTATTTTTTAACACATCATTATGCCTATTAGTCTCAAACCTATTCAGGTACGTTTGTGAACAGTTTACGACATTCCGGTGTACAAGTTACAAAGGAAACCAATCAGAGACATTATGGTTGCTGGTAGTATTTATTGAAAAGAATATACATTATTCAGATGTCAATTCCAGAACTGCAAACAACTGGCAACACTCAATACTTATCGCAAGGATCGATCAGGAAATAAGAAAAGGAAACTTGTTGACATACTTTGTGCAGAGAATCCCACATTGTGCCAAAAATATATTTAATAAAGCCACTAGTAGTAATAATAATAATAAGACGGAGGAGAAAAAACTACTATAATGATCTAAATGATCAATCAGCTTACTTAGTCAACGTATTATGACTAGACAACAATCAAGCTTTAGGATCTAGGACATAGGATTAAAATTTAATCAGTTTGGATGGGATAATTTGTTCCGATACAATCAATCTAGTGACATTGCCCCCAAATGCCCTGGTACGGCCGAGGGTGAGAGAATTAGCTCTCTCTCACTCTCTTTCGAAATGCTCTCACATGGTCACGCGTATATAGCCTCTGCCTGGGAAGTCCTACTCACTGCCTTCTCGTATCACGGGTGTTGTTTACGAAATTGAGAGGACGAAAAGCGAATGTCCGGCGCTTTAACCGGGTTGGTGGACACCAAGGGCCCACCTAGGTGTGTTGGAAGTCCCTGATTCCAAACCAATGGTGCACAAAGGCTCCAGTATCCTGAATGAACAAATGGCGTATGAACCAATCGTTGGTCACCGGCTACCATGAGACTGCATCTCCTTACGTCGCTCCACTGCCTTGTGGATCAGACCTTCATGTTGAAGGCTCCGAGTGTGGCCTCCTAAGAAAACCACCTGCTTTGGTTTGGGCACCCGGGCAGTATCAGAGCCCTCACACACATATGTATTTGGTGCCTCCTTGTACTAATATATATGTGTTAAAATAAATAAATAATAATAAGACAACAATCATATAGACTAGTCCTAAAGCAAAAATCTAAGGTAGATGACAAGCTCGTGATACCTCAAAGGGATTGCTCATTGTGAGTAAATAAAGAAAACAGAAAACCCCGGTGAATATTGCTCAAAATAGCTACGTCAGGAGATAAAGTCTACCTGTAAATTAAAGGAAATGAATTGTACAGAAAGTTAGCAAGTTCTACTGAGTTTAGGGATGTTCCAGATAAGGGTTAAAACCTGTCTGCTTTCGAGCTTTATAGTCGTAATCACATTGGATCCAAAAATTTTGGAAACTACCTTAAAAATTAAAACGATTACCAATCAAAAACTGTCAAAAGAAATTGTCCAAATCCCATACTTTAACTAACCCGAGTTGGTTTACCCGAGAAACCCGAACAATTACTTTCAAACGTCACTAAATTTATTGTATCGAAACAAATTATCCCATTCAGGCTGATTAAACTCTAGTCTTAGGACCTAGATCCTAAAGCTTGATATCAGTATCCTATCCAAGTTATCAGTGGGTAAAAAGCGATCGAAATTTTGTCGGGTGCTATTTATTCATTTTTAGTCATCGTTAGCCAAGACTTAAAGACTACTGCACACTGCCGTGCAATAGCCGCCAAAGGTTTTAAAACCTTATGGTCAATACGTAGAGCTTTTAGTCATGTCGACGCTAAAATGTTTTTGACTTTTTATACAGTGTTCGTACGTCCCAAACTCGAGTACTGCATACAAGCAGCTAGCCCCTGCTTAAAAATAGACAGTGAGCTTATGGAAAAGATCCAGAGAACAGTAACTAAACTGATTCCCGGAATGGCGAAGCTTCCGTATGATGCTCGACTGACCAAGCTAAACCCATTCCCGTTGTCATATCGTAGAAATAAAGGCGACTTAATTACAGTTTTCAAATTGCTTAGTGGTAAATTTGCACCTGATATGCCCTAATTTTTCTTGTCTTCCAAAACAGAGAAGTTACGAGGACACTCCAAAAAAGTTCACAAGCCCAGAACAAATTGCTTGTCAGCTGACTATCGACTTTCCCATCGAATCATCAACGAGTGGGGTTCATTACCTCAACACGTGGTTGAGGCTACATCCGTCGACTCTTTCAAAAGAAAGTTGGATCAACTGAGAGGCCACCATTGCCAGGACTAACACAGGCCATCAAGCCTCCCGTCCTTTCCAAACTGAGACTGAAACTTTGTTCGTTGCTTTTATCTGCCCGAAGAATAAGCCACTGACTAACCTATCTATCCAGAAGTATTTGTTGAAGTGTTCATTACATACTCCCTAATAATGTTACAACCGTTTGATCTAGACATTTCATTGAGACAGTCGATAAGTACCACTAACCTTTATAATAAGGTTCACAACTGACGTGGTTAGTCCGTACCTCGTAAGTGAATTACACAGTACCCATCTTGATCTGATCAACCATGACCGAAAAACGGATGGCTGATAAGTTACCCTTAAGTTACATAGGACTTGAGTAATTAACCAGGTGCAGGGTAATCCTAACGCGATGTACACTTGTCAAAAGAAATTTACATATTATCAAGACCATATGTAATTTTATAAAAATCGGCGAGACTCTAATTTATGGACGAGCTATTCAGAAACGTTTTAGAGATTTCAATGTTACGGTGCCAACTTCAGTGCCGAAAGCTAACGTACAATCGGTTTACAGGGAATTTTGTACAAAACGTGATAATTGAGCGTTTATAACAAATAAAACGGCGAGACTATAACTTGTGGACGAATCAATCAGATATAAGTTAACAGCTCTACCATTTTAACGCGAAAGCCTTTCATCCATTTGGCTAAACAGATTTCTGGCATTATAGCTGTCAGTTCGTGATGGAAACCCTATATATAATTCTCAAATAAGGCAAATTATGAAAATTATCGCGAACTGGATAGTAAAAGCACCAGTAACACTGGCTGCAGCCCGGTGCTACAATATATACGGATGTTTGGAGAGCGTATAGACTCCCATATAGGCTTGTTTATGTGTATCGTATCGTCATCCACAAGCGGCATTTTGTGTAGTCAACAACCGGAGTGCACATAAACAATATTGAAGCTATGTGGTTGAGTCTGAAAGAGTTCTTGAGACTTTATCATGGCTCCAGAGGCCGACTATTCTGTACCCGTATGGATGATTTCCTTTACTGCATGCATTACGATTTTAGAACCTCTGAACCTCTTTCTAACCTTGACAAGTTTTTGAACCACGTATTAGAATTGTATCCACTTTATTTCCTTGGTTTTGTATAATATATTTTTACTACATACTTACTGTTTGCTGGTTGGCTAATATTTCCTCAAGGTCACTTAATATTCGTTCAAAGGTCGTCCATAAATTAGAGTCTCGTCGAAAAATCCATAAGCTAAGACTACATGATGCCTATATTGAGATTATTAAACAGACCTGTACATTTTTAAAGGTTACTATTAAAATTTAATCCAGTATTCCAAATAACAACACAAGTTTGTATTAAAACCGAGGATTTCACATAAGCTCCACATAATATTATAACGTTAAGTGATAGGTATCACGTTGGGGTACGTTAGTTAAGTTAGGCTACCCTAACTTACATAGTCTAAACGACATAATGGCGGTAAGAACAACAGGGTCACTCAACATTTCGGTTTGAAGATTTCATACTTAAAGTAAGATGTCCAGAAAAATATATTCCTTTGGATCACAGCACAGTGGTAATCAGATTACACCGAAAAATACGCTCGTGAACGGCCCTACACAGAATAGAGATCCATAAACTATCGAATACAAACAGTTGAAGATGTACGGCGCATTTTTTCGTCACATTTCATTAATGTTCATCTCTAACTTGCTCTGTACAAATGGTACGAACAATAAGGACATACTAGAAAAGGTACAGAGGGCAGCTACGCGTGCAATTCCGGAACTCCGTGGTTTATCATATAAAGAGCGGCTTGAGAAACTGAACCTCTTTACTCTGTCCTATCGCAGACTAAGGGGAGATCTAATATTGATGTACAGAATACTGAGAAATGATTTCGGACCTAACTTATTCGCTCTCTTTCTTCCCACTAGATCGGGACACCTCAGAGGACATAGCAGGCGAATAGAAAAGCCAAGAACGAACAAAATACCCGTAGCATACAGGTTTTCACACCGAGTCATCAATACTTGGAACCTGTTGCCTGAAGCAGTGGTGTCCGCACCTTCAATTGACTCTTTCAAGAGAAGACTGGACACTGACAGAAGCATACTAGAAAAGGAATAACACAGGCCTTAAGCCTTCTGTCCTTACTACACAAATCTGAAATCTGAAAATAAAAACAACAGATCAGACCTTTCAAGAACTAAGTATCGCAACATCAAAAAATAACCCACTCGGTTTCGGTTCACAACGACTTGATTCATTTAGTTTAAAAGATACTAATGTTTCCGTTGCGTCAACTTGTCTAGTTGAATATTCGAATAGCGTAGGCAGTGCGTTTTGATTAGAAGCTTCATCCGTGATATCGAGAACTTCATCTATTTTTTGTTGGGCACTTTTCAAGGCTGTGATCGCAAATTTTGAAATGTTGCCTGCTTTCTCCAATGAATTCCACCAATTCATCTCATAGCTAGCTCCGTCAGTAACCTTGAGGTAGAGAACAAATTTGAGTGATTCTTCTGCCACTATTCAATTTAACAGTTATGTATGCATATTAATTTGCTCATAATCGCATGCTAGCATTTCCATTTTCTCCACTTCTTTGTGATATTCACGTTATTTCTTCACATGAATATTACACTTCCATATTATGCACTCACCGCTCACGTGAAATCGTACTCTGTCAGAAATAGTACGAGTATTCTTTGCTACTTTTTATTGACGTTAACAACGAGCTTCTTTAGCGTCAGTTTTAGAAACAAGCATTTTTTAAACAGGTGTGCTATTTTCCACGGGGAAGCCTCGCGGCGCACCATATCAAGCCCACATGGATTATTCTACCCACCGGAAAGACAAATCAGCTTTTTCTACCTGAGTCACGTTTTGAATTTCTTATTAGCAATGTCTGTCTTATGTGAGCTCATGTGTGTTCAATGATTACCCTGCCCATCATGTGCCTATGATTTAATGTCGTCCGACCATAAATATTGAGTTCCACCGAATACACCATAACTAAAGGCGCTCAATCATGCATTTGCACGGTTTGTTAGTGCGTGTGCCGTGCCACTCATACCTTGAAATTACTCGTATGGGTTCTGATCGACTTAGTGTTGCTGGGGTGAAGTTATGTAATGCAATACTTAAAAAGAGACAAATGGAAACGAGGCGCGAATCACATAGAAAGCCTCACATGTTAGGAATCGAGAAGAGTTTGGGCTTGCCGAATTAAAAAGCAAGGGTGTTACAGGAGAACTGAAAATATTTAATCAATTAAGAACTGCAGTACTAAATATTAATAAGTTTGTTGTTTTGAGTGTATATGTTTTGCCCAACTTTTAAACTTGTTCGTTCATATCTTTGACCTCGGACATTATGGTTTCACTCTGTTCGATTTCGTATTTTGGAAGTTTTGCACTGGCAAACCAAAAATTGAACGAAGTTGTGTTTAAGCTGACCACATATAATTTACGAATAAACTATCTTACCTGAAATGGAATTTGATTCTCTTGTTATTTGAGGTCATAAGTTACGAGTGGATCAATCGACCGTGCTTCAATAACTGGTCGATGAGTTCAAGGAGGTGTTGCACAATATTATAAATAATGTTGGTCTGCCGACAACTGATGTTGTATATTTTGATGTACAGCCTGATCAATATCTCTGCTTTTTGGTCAGTTTACTGACATTATCGGAAATAAGTTGTCCGATAAAAGTTAAATGTTATATCTGCTGTACTAGTTGGAAGGAAAACTCAGGATGGCGATCTGGCTTATTTTTACCCAGTGATTTGGATTATGATAGGGCAAAACAATTTTCTTAAGATCTTTTTAAAAGGGAGCATCTTGTTGCCTGTTAAATAATTACGGAATTACCATGAAGATGCCACAGGTATTAGGAGTTTGAAAACGCTTTTGCCAGTAACACCTTCTATATGAAGCGTAACCACCAAGTGAAATCAAAAGACAGAACGGAGGAGGTTTGAAGATATATTCGATAAGTTATCAATATGTCGAGGATCGTCTGATCTAATCTGGATAGCGATTGCAATAGATGTTGAGCACGGAGTTCCCACTCGTGATCTGGTGCGGATGCATGACTGAGCGCCTTCAGCTAGGTGAGTCCATTAAAACATGTGATCAGCATCCAATGTCGAAAACTTACAGAGCTATTTATTTCGGGGATTTATTTACCGCCACAGATCACTCCGCCCCTAGTGGGGTGGTGATGACCCTAAGACGTGGCCAGCCAGAAGTTTAAACCCAACGAGTTTTGTCGTTGGTAAACACTCTTCTGATAGTTTGCTAGGTTAAGCAGCGTCTGGTCGTCTTTCCTTACTATTAGGGACCATGAAATACTATATAGTAAAAAAATAATGTACAATAAAAATTTTTGGTTACTCATAAACTTTATCGTTCTTTTTATCGTCTTTTCCAGCCGTCCTGGAAAAGAAAAAAAGAAAATGTGAATGCATTTGGAAATAAACTCGTACGGGCTTTAAGACACAAAATTGGCGAAAAAAGGTAAATAACGTAAAGGCGTTCTCGATCCCTCACGTCTTCATTTATTTCAGGCCAGCAAAATCGTTCTGCTATGAGCTTGATGGTTGCACGAACACCTGGATGAGAACGTTTGTGCAACGTATTGAATACATTGCGTCGATAACGTTTCGGCAAGATTGGGCGATCCCCACCTGTAGATGTGTCACACAGTAAGTTTACCTTACTTGTTCCATCTGTTTGATTCTTAGCTTGAGTGTTGTCGACGATGACTCGTGCTGAAGATCAGTGTCTTCTTTTTGAAGCTGGGCGCTTTTAAGAAGGTCGATTCCTTGGAAACTGTCCAAGGAAGTTATGCGAGACAAGGCGTCTGCAACTACATTGTTTGCTCCAGAAATGTGTTGGATGCCTGAAGTAAACTGCGAAATGTAGTCCAGTTGTCGATACTCACGATGTGAGTACTTGTCTGAAGAGGAGCTTAACGAGAAAGTAAGAGGTTTATGGTCAGTGAAAAGGGTGAATTCACGGCCTTCGTCGTAGTGTTGAAAATGCCGTACAGCACAATACATATATATGAGTGCCCTACCGAATGTGCTGTACCTCGATTTAGTGTCTAGCAACCGTCTAGAAAAAAATGCCAAGGGTTGCCTGGAGTTGTTAACCCATTGTCGTAAGACTCCTCCGATCGCTGAGTCCGATGTGTCTACTGCGATACTAATGGGTGCTTCAGTGTCATAATAAGCAAGCATTGTTGCTTTAGCGATCAGTTCCTTAACTGTGGAGAATGCTTTTCGTGTGGTGTCGTCCAGTTTGATGGATTTCGCAGTTCCAAGAAGTTGGTCGGTAAGAAGTTTCATAAGTAACGCGCATTTAGGTATGAATCGTCTATAGAGACTTACGAGGCCGTTAAACGTTCGTAATTGCTTGATCGTGGTCGGTTCTGGGTAATCCAGAATGGCCGTCACTTTGGTTCCAAGGGGTCGAATGCCGTGCGCATCATTAGTGTGTCATAGGAAGTCTAATGAGTCAGTTCCAATTTAGCATTTCTGAATGTTTACAGTAATGCCATTTTTTATAGTTGATCGAAAACAAGATCCAGATGCTTGAGATGTGATTCTCTGTCCGGACGTGCGATAAGGTAGTCGTCAACATACGCATGTACGAAGTTGAGACCTCAAAAAACGTCTATGAACCTTTGGTAGGTTTGTGCAGCGTTTCTTAAACCAAAGGGCATTAGCGAAAATTCGTAGAGTTCAAACGGAGTTTTGATAGCTGTTTTCGGAATTTCTTCAGTGACCATGGGAATTTGGTTATATGCTTTAACCAAGCCGATTTTCGAAAAGACGGTTGTACCTTTCTAGGTAGCTGTTAAACCGTAAATGTTAGGCAACGGCTAACGGTTAAGAATGGATTTTGCATTCAGTCGCCGATAATCACCAGTTGGACGCCAATCGTTGCTGTCCTTTCTAGTGACTATGTGCAACGAAGATGCACATGGGCTGTTTGACGGTCGTATGATTCCTAAGTCTACCATGTGGTCAAATTCCTTTTCGGCCAACCTTAGCTTTTCGGGGGCTAATCGTCGTGCTTAAGAGAATACAGGTGGTCATCTAGTCGTGATGTGATGTGTAACGTTACTGGTTACACACGGTAGTTTCGCTTGCGTTTGTTGTATTCCAGGATACTTATCGAGTAGTGGTTGATAAAGTGGATCTATCGTGTGTTTAATAGTAACCGGGGATAATCTGCCATCAGAGAAAGAAGTCACGCAAACGGATAACTTAGTGTTTCCGTCTACTAGCCTCCGTTTTCACGTATCGATGATTAGATTGTGTTGTTGCAGAAGGTCCATACCAATAATTGGCATAGAAACATCTGCAACAACGAAAATCCACTGAATGGGTCTGCGTAAACCGACGTTAAGATAAACATACCTTTTGCCATACGTAGCGATAGGTTTTCCGTTTGCCGCCTGTAAGTTTAAAGCCGATTCGTGAAGCCGGTCGTTGGAATTGGCTGGGAGAACGCTAACTTCCGCGCCAGTGTCGACGAGGTAGAGAACTCTCGTTGTCACATCTGTGACGTATAACAGACGACTATGTTCGTCGGCTACGGTTGCCATTAACGCGTGCCGGCTTGTTGTCTAAAGTTGTCTAAATAGGCCATCATCAAAGGTTCTTTGGCAAAACGTTTAAGAATTGATTAGCTCCGTAGAAGAAATGGACAGGGTTGCTCAAGAACATATGGGAGATAGGCACAACTTAACTCTGAGTCTGGTTAAAGAGGCTCAGAAGTCAAAGTTGATAGCAGAGATAGCCTGAATGTATTTAAGCATAATATAAGCAACTCAGTTAATTTTGTAAAATATGAGCTTTGCCAAGATGATCACGAGGTGACAGATTGTACAAAGTTATCGGATATGAATGTCATGGAATGGCGACTAGAATTGGAATGATGTGGTCTCTGTTATCTGTGTTTGAGAAAGGGTCACATAGCTTGGTTTTGCAACTCGGGCATAAATTGTGACGTTGAGAACTGCGAAATTCAACATAATTCGATGCTACATATTGGTGGCAATAGCAACCATTTAGTGAATTAAAATAAGGATTAAAACATGTCAAAGGTCTGTTAGGGTACTATTCTGGTCAAGCTGTATGATTTCAAAATAAGTTGGTAAACGTATGCTCTTCTGGATTGTGGTTATATTGCTTCTTTCGTATGCGAAGAAGTGTAGTGACATTAAGCCCTAATCACACAATCGTCAAAGCTGGACACGTGACAACTAGGAAAATAAATATTCAACGTTTAACACGGAGAAAAACCCAACGATGAGGAAGGCGGGAACAATGAATTGAAATAATCCCAATTGATCGGATGGCGAGGCTCAGCCTCTCAAGTGTGGTCGCTCTGTACAACATACTTTTAATCATATCAAATATATTGTTCTTTCTCCGGCCCGAATGTATT